ACATTTATGATTGCCCCATACTTAATTTAGAGCGACATATACTGCTTATCACTATTAATTCACATGGCCACAAATGGTGTGATTATGACACAATCCTTCGTGAAAAAACTCATATGAGGCCTTTTTTGACTTAATCACCAAATACTTTGCATGTACTACAGTCAGTGGCTTTTAGTCAACTTTGTACTCAGTCACTCTCTTGAGTACGAGCGTTACTATCTTATTCCGATTCATCAAATAAATCTAATATATGTATCTTCATCTTTGAAGTTTTTCCAGCAGCCATCATGTTACACATTATCAGCCTTAGGATGTCTGGCATATATTTAGTTTATCCTGATTATTCAGTAGTTATTCTCTACCAAAGTATACTGTTTACGTGCAGACAGATGACCAAGACTGCAGCACTAAGTTTACAGTGCACTCTATATACATTAGTGTTGAAGAACATTTTTCTTCATCCTATTTTGCTTGTGGCTGTCTCTTTTAATGGTATGGCTATGTGTAAATGTCACCAAGTATCTACTAATTTTTTGTATGTTTCATTAAAAGATACTGAATCTGAAAAGTATTTTATATGCTGATAGCACGTGATGGCTGCTAATTCTATATAGGCTAAAACAATATAATTGTCCTGCTAACATTTATAATTTAATAAAAGACTATCTGTCTGACAGAACAATAATTTTTATGTCTGTTGAACTTACTATGCAAGGAATTACACTAGGGATGTCCACAGGATTCTGCCTGTTGACCCCTCCTCTGGTACGTATTATTTAATGATTTTCTACCTAAGGAGTTTGGGCAAAATGAAGTTGCCACATATGGACAATGCACTAATACTTATGAGTGCAAACTCAAGAGCTGAGTTTGAAAGGAAAGGAACAGATATACTCTAGAAAATCACTGACTGGGGGAAAAACAAACTGTCCTTTTAATTAATCCTGGAAAGTCTAGAGGAATAATCTTTAGCACTTTGAGAGCATAATATCTCTACAGAAGAGTACTAACAATACAGATAGGTAATGAAAGTGTCAAAATTGAACAAAATCTGAAATACTTAGGAATTACCCTAGACTATAGACTCTTTTGGACTGATTATGTCGAGACAATAACTAAAAATCTTATTCTCCAGTTGTTCAAAAAAATTGCAAGAAGTAAATGGGGTATAAATTCTGATACCCTCAGCTCTATTTATGACATGATATTTTTATTTATAATTACCTATGCCTGCCTTGCTTGGGAAGAAGCGATACTAAAAATCCATAATAAACAGAAATTAATCGCAGCATAAGGAAAAGCTTTCATCATGCTCACTGAGGCATACAGAACTTGTCAAACAAAAAGTTTTCAGGTGATCTTGGGTAAACTTCCTGTGGACCTCAAGATTGAATACTTCACAAACAAATGGAAATTAACACAGAAAAAATAATTTGAATTGGGAACAGAAGAGTATAAGTAGGATGACTATGAACTACAAGTCCCTTTTCCTATATTGCAAATCCCAAAAACAGAAAGTGGTTTTCAGAAATTTCCATAAGTGGAGAAAACATCAGTCTTCACAGACGGGTCTACGATAGATTAATAGGTTGGAGCCAGTTATGTGATGTACCTTGATTATAAAGAAATTCAAAACAAAATTATCAAGCTATCAATAGATAACAGCTGTAGCATTACACAGGCAGAAACCATTGCCATTGCTAATGCAGTCAAAGACTGCAAAACAAATTTCTCTTGCAATAACATCAATATATTCTCGAACAGTCAAGCAGCCATTTTAACTATATTAAATAGACTTATCCTATTACAAATGAAATTAATGTATACCTACAAAATTCCAATAATGAATAATCATTAAACTGGATAAGAGGCCATACAGGAAACACTGCTAATGAGAGAGCTGACGAACTGGCCAAAATTGCTGCATTAAACCAGGTTCTACTAATTTAAGAAAATTCTTAAATAGACAATACAAAATTTGTCTTCTCACTTGTTCTTTCTCATGCACATGAGGAAAACAACAGTTCCTCGACAAAGATAAAATTTCTTAAATTTTGTAAATTTTTAAAAGAAATTGATTGCGACTGGATATGTTGCACTGATAAAATACAATTTAAGTAAATGGCAACAACAGTGGGACTTGGCACACGACGACTTACCTTTCTCCTATCTCCCAGAAGTCAGCAATGTTAACAAAACAAAATGGTTTAAACCATTTTTCCACTGACTTAATTTCTTATAGACCATGGATGTTGTCAGAAATACCTTTACTGCTTCTGGATATCTGGCAACGATAAATGCTCAATATGTGAGACATCCGACAGGAGTGAACATTATCTTTTAGAATGCCCCAGAGTAGAAAAAGAAAGGACAGATATAAAAATCATACTTTAAAAGAAAGGAATAACCTGGCCATGTGACAGAAAATTATTAATCAAAGATCACAAGAAATTTATCTTATACAAGGAACTAATTAACAAAATGTTTAAAAGGACTGAGGTTTTCAACAGATAATTTTTCAAATTTGTTTGCATATTGTTGTACATAGTTTTGTTTTTGTGCAAGATGCTTCAGAAGCTTTTGTTTTGTGGTATATTCACACGAGCATTCAACATAACAATTGTGACACAACCTCTTTTTATTTGTAATTCCCGATAGTACCAGGCTAAGGGGAATCCGATTTAATTTATACAATAAACACAAGACTACAATATTAAGCGCATGAAGTTGATTACAAAATTTTCCCATTTTTCCTGTTTTAGCACAAAACTATTTCACCTTGTAGAATCTTATTAATAGGAAAGTCCTGAGGTAGTTTGTTTGGAAGAATCATCCCCAAAAATGTTGATGCAAATGGATAAAAACAAAGTTTTATACACTTCCACTTTTGTAGTCATTGCTTGCTTGCTTGTCTGCTTCCCTCTCTCCTGGTAAATCACAAAACAAAAAAAGCCATTTGACAGAGGGGACACCTTAAGTACCTCTCAGCAAAAGGTAAGGTGGCTTCCCCTACTGTGGACAAAACATTATGAAAAAAATACTAAAATAAAAATAAAATCATAATAATAAAAATAATTAACATATGCACAAATCTAAGAATATTATTGTTACATCATTTTATTTCTCCCAAGTAAAGTTGATGGAAGGATATATGCTTGAGAGTTGCTGCATGAAACGAGAGTTGCTCATTTCTCGTCTGTGGGAAGACACAAAAAAATTACTCATCTGTGTCTTCCCACACTACGAGGATATCAACTTAATGCAAGTACAGCAGCGGGTAGTGGATGGCAAGTGGGGAATTGAATGTTCTGTGCTCAGTTTCATGCATAATGAGTTACACTAAAAGAGCATATAAACGGGAACCCATAGGAACCCCCTGCTTCTGTAAATAAATTTTCTGATTGAAACGGAAATAATTATGCTCAGTGATAAATGTCAGCGCATCATGTATATCAAGCACTTGCTGGATACTAAACTGTCTTTTTTCCAGCAAGTGCTTGATATATGTGATGCGACCTCTATTTTATTTACCACCTACTACATAATTAATATTGCGATAGTTGAAAAGAGCACAAAAAAAAGAGTCAAAATACTCAATTGAATCAAACAGATTTTATTTTAAATCTGATTTACAAAAGAAGAAAAATACCACAGATCCCAAAATACAAGCCAACCTCCATAAAGCTAAATTGGTGAGATGGTTACATCAGGTAGAGCACCTTCGCAACCTGCAAGTATTAGAAATATACAAGACTGGCCTGGCTGGCAACTGTATTAACACAAAGGATGCTGCTAATATTTCTTATGCATGGAGGAGAACAAATTTATACAATTGGTTACAGGATGATATATACAGTTGCTGTATTTCTATCGTACCTCTTTACAATTTACTATCCTTTTGTTTCTATAAGCAGTCCTTCTTTTCTTTCTTCCTATTCTTAGAACTGTCTTTAATGTTTTTTCTGTATCGAATCTTCCTTTGGTAGTATCACTGCTCCTAATCTCAGGACGACATCGAACAAACCAAGACAGAAGAACAAAAAAAAGAAAGGTATCTTCCACATGGACGTGCCACTTTTTATATACTCCCTCCATCCGGGTTCTTCCTTTACCCAAGGGGCAATTCGCACAGCCAATCACAGCCACGATATGGAAGTACCTTATGCAGAGAACTATATTTCTAGTCGCAGAGCACTACAATACTAATATTTTGTCCTAAAAATGCTGGGCAGATATACATACTTCCTTTGGTAGCTCTACTTTTGTCACAGTGTAAAATATAAAAACTTCGTTTATTCTTTGTAAATCAGATTTAAAATAAAATCTGTTTGATTCAATTGAATATTTTGACTTTCTTTTTGTGCTCTTTTCAACTATCACAATATTAATTATGTAGTAAGTGGTAAACAAATAGAGGTCACATTTGTCAAGGGTAGCTCTACTTTTGGCCACTACTGTACATTCCAAGTGTGATGTCACATAAGCATGTGCCACTCTATCCTGTTTACATATGTATTTGCTAACAGTTAGTTTTAATTCTTTGCAATCTATTTGTGACAAGAGTCAGTCCAATATTCATAAATTTTTTTACTGATTTCTAGAATCAGTAACAATATGATTAAATGACTACTCTTCAACTTCCTTTAGATACCACTTAACCTGAGATGTCATTTTAGATTGGTGACAAGCTACTTACATGACTGTCATTGTTTCTCACCAGTGACAATCATGTAAGTAGCTTTTTGTTCTTTTGAATTTAGAACTGGGAGGTATAGAAAGTTTTTGTCCTTTAAACAAAATAAAATGTCCCCAAACTAAATAATAACTATAACAAAAACAAAACTCAGAAACGAAAATGCAATTTGGACTTGACTCCTTACATAATATTGTGAAGGGTATTATGCAAGCTTATTGCATAATAAATAAATTTAGTTCAGAATTTTTATAATTAATTAATTGTTTTAATATTAGAATTTATGCATATTATTTATTTTTTCCAGTTAATTCCACAAATCTCGTCTCTGACTCCAGTCACTACAGCTGTGCCTTTAGTAGTAGTATTAACTGTAACAGCTTTAAAAGATGCAATTGATGATATCGTAAGTTTTTTACATTTAAATACATTGTTAATGTATATCAAAGTTATTTTAATTAATTATTCAGTTTAATTATTTGATTATGGCATATAATTTGATACTAATCTTACTTTGATGATTGTTAATCTAGTATGGCATAGTTGAAAATGTTCTTGAGTCATTGACAATTGAAAACTGCAATAGTTTGGATCATTTTTCGACGTGACAGACAGATTGAATTCAGTAGTTGTAATTTATAAATTTTTGACAATTCAGTTTATATAATTTGTAAAGGAACAGATTTTCCCACAGATTGAATTTGTTATGGTTTTATGTAATCCATTATTAAAATTTCAAAATTCTAAAACTTGGACTATTTTGGCAGTAGAACATGTTAAAACATCATTATTTCTAGTGTGATGTTTGTAACAAGAGGTACTTAATTCTGTGAGCGAAATGATACAAAAAAAAAACACTTAATATTATTTACAGCACAAAGTATTTTAATTATCTTTGAACAGGTTCTTTACATTGGATCCCAACTTTACAACTTTATAGATTTTATATACATAGGCATTAAGTACTTGTCCTCCAAATAGATAATTCACATATGCACGACAGTCAGACATGGGTTGTATTAACTTACACTAACTTATAACTATGTTAAAACTGAGGAAAATGGAAAAATAGAAGAAATAAGGAAGGATAAGGAAAGGAATAGAAATACCCAGGGTTTTTGTAGCGACATGGCCAACAGCCACACTAGTTTATTAGAACATAAATTTTAGTTTGACATAACCATTAGATTTTTGCAGGATTAGTGTTTGGAGTACATAAAGCTATTTGTGTGGAGGTATACTGAATAAGAAAAAAATTACAGTAGAACATGGATAATTTGAATTTGTGGTTAATTAGAATATTTCTTTCAGACCCTTGACTTTCCTATAGAAACAATGTACAAAATGCCTCTTTAATGCAAACTTTATGGTAAAATAAAATTGGTGAGAATCTTATGAAAAATCATGTGCAATATTGAGATAATATGTGTTTAGGTACTAACTAGGACATTTATTGGGAAATTTTAGAGTACAGTATTTAGCACACTTTTTTATGAGAAGACCGTAACATCTTGGAATTTTCTGAAATTTTGATATGTTTCAGTACAGTCCTGTAGCTAATGCACAGTAACATAACTTGTGCCAATGAACAATAGTTTCAGAAATCATTCTGTAATCTTTTCTGTATATGTTATATACAGTAGACCCCCCTATAACGCGGGTTCCTATAATGCGGATTCCTATAACGTGGCAAAAAAATTGCGACAGTATTCGTATAAAGACGCTAAAAGGGACGCGTAAAATGCGGTAAAACGTCATTGCCGTCTCGTGTCGCAACAGGATTGGTCGAATCTGGACCAATAGTAGACGAGCAGCCGAACTACTTACACGCTACGGAGAGTTTAGACAGGTAAGTTGAGTTTACTATCGTCTGTACAGTATTATTACCATCTGTACAATGTTAACTTAATTTATTTTAACTTTATTATAATTATATATATACTTTTCGCTGTCCAGCGCTACACTACGGAGAGTTTAGGTTAGTAAGTTGAGTTTACTATTGTCAGTACAGTATGTAAATTAGGTACCGTAAGTCTAATACAATACTGTAATTTTATACATCTCTTGTGAAAGAAACATTTCTTATTCAACGGCCATAAAAATTATTTATATTAATGATGTCTCCAAAGTTCAACGAAGTTTTCGCAGAAAAATAACTTATCAGAAATTATGCCTGCTGTTTGGTGCTCCGCGACGAAAACAAGCTTAAGCAATGGCGATGTCGAATGGTGCACACTTGGTAAGTAATTCTACAATTTTTTGTTTATAGCATAGTTTATATGGATTATTTCCAAAAAAGAATACGTATTTTGGAAATATTGAGTCAAATTAATCTAGAATCGATTAATTTTATGGAAGAAAACCTTTCAAACAGCCAGTCTGTAAACTGCACACGTGTCGGGCTGCGATTGGCTCATGTATTTAAGGATTCCTACAACGTGAAATTCGTATAAAACAGAACGTATCTACCGCATTATAGGGGGGTTGACTGTACTTAGTTCTGTATATCAGTCATAATGACTATTAGCAGCTTGGTCAAAAAGTATAATGTTGTGGTGGTGTTGTGCTTCTTTTTTTGTAAATTTATCTGAAGTGTGCAAAGCAGTGAATTATTAGAAAACATTTGGCTCAAAAATATTACTGTTATTATTATTATGGTTATTTGCATATGCTTAATTAAACCAGCAACTATAGGAAAAGTATGCATTTAATGAAAACAAAAGATTATTTTAAAACTGGAAGGATTTTAATATCTACATTATGTTATTGATATATTACTGGTCAATGCTTTCCTGCATTTTTTAAAGCTGTCTTGTTTGTGGGAACTGCATGAAAGTTAAATAGTTGTTTACCATCTATGGACTGATTTTGGATGCTGATATTTTATGTCTGAGGACTTTAACTGTGTCGAATCCTTGGCTTTTATTTTGATTATTAGTAATTTAAACACAAATTATTTATTGTATTTATTCAGACACTTGGCAAATCTTATCATTAAATTTTATTTAGTTGATACAAGTTCATCTCATTTGTACACGTTTCGGGCATTTCTTCCCCCTCTTCAGCCAACTAAAATAAAAGTTCACAAGTTACAACAGTATAAACAAACATATAAGGTCATATTTTTTAAAAACATACCTTTTATTACAAAAAACTTTTACGATATAACCTTTAAATTAAACACGTATGTCACTAAATTGACGAGCGCTTTCGACGATACACACTTTCGTCTTCTTCAGGTCATTAGAAGATATAAGAACCTTTTCTAAATACAAAATTTTTAAAAAACATTCCAATCATAACTAACATTTTGGAATACCAGCAACGGTAGAATATAAAAAAGATATTTAAATAAGAAGCACGCGCGTTTATACTGCGCATGCACTAGACGCCTCTATATTGTGGATTTAATTGCAATGTTTTATATAACTGTACAAGCTGATCCACAAAGGGGGCAAATCCAGTGTGGGGGTGTTGCAGGGCCTTAATATGTTGGTGATGAGGCTTTTCCAGATGTCTTTCCCACCACCACACTACACCGTCCGAAGGAGTCCACAATAGTCCTGCCCGCGATACCATTTTCTGGCCGTGTCACCCTCCGTATTTGTCGTATTTTTAGGCAACATGATTTGTTTCTGCCAATCTTTCCGCGGCCTAATCTTAGGAGGTTGCTGTCCAACGACAGGGATCCTTTTATCCACCATTGAAAAATCAGGGGTTTATTCAGTCCCATTAGAGAATGATTTAGGCGGTCGCACCCATTATATTGGTGCGACAACCAGAATGTTAGCTAACCGTATTTTAGAGCATCAACATTCCATCAGGGATGACACAGAACTCGCCAGAATGGTACTACAACACAAGCATACCCTGTGTGGAATGATGTGGTCATACTAAAACATTGCGACAACAAAAATCTCGTATACATCTGGGAAGCCCTCATCACCAACGTATTAAGGCCCTGCAACACCCCCATACTGGATTTGCCCCCTTTGTGGATCAGCTTGTACAGTTATATAAAACATCGCAATTAAATCCACAATATAGAGGCGTCTAGTGCATGTGCAGTATAAACGCGCGTGCTTCTTATTTAAATATCTTTTTTATATTCTACCATTGCTGGTATTCCAAAATGTTAGTTATGATTGGAATGTTTTTTAAAAATTTTGTATTTAGAAAAGGTTCTTATATCTTCTAATGACCTGAAGAAGACGAAAGTGTGTATCGTCGAAAGCGCTCGTCAATTTAGTGACATACGTGTTTAATTTAAAGGTTATATCGTAAAAGTTTTTTGTAATAAATGATTAGCGTGCTGTCCATCACTATATTATAAACATACCTTTTAGATTACAGATTATTGAAAGTTAAAACCATAAAATTCCATCGCCCATTTTACTTGTCATTCATTAAATTACAAATTTTTGTATGGTTTGAACCTTTAAAACACTTGACTTCTTATTATCTAAAAAATTTTAAACATTGTTTTATATTTAACTTCATGTTATCTAAAGATTTTACATTAATTATCTTGTATACATTTATTTTGATAACAATACTACAAATTACATACCTAGTTATTCATTTTTAATTGTTATAAAATTTAATCAATTTTAAAATTTCTCCCATACATTTACTATCACATTTAAATCGATTCAACAGTACTAGAATTTATATACTCGTCTTTCATCAAAATAGAAATAGTCCCTCCATACAAACATATTTCGCCAATTTTTTCTCCCCCTTTTTCCCCCAGTTAAGCTTGCCCACTGTCTACTACACAGTCACATGACGAGTAGGCCACCTTGTGGCAACATTTTTAAAATACTTTTTTACATAGGAATTTGTTTCTAAAAATATTTTTTTAATTTTATAAGACATTGAGCCAGTTTTAATTTATTTTAATACTTAGATTTTTAATTATACATTTATTACTTTCGATAATTTCTACACTTTCTTTGAACTTTCTATGATATGTTTCTTTTTCTTTGTGGAGTACTGTATTTGTATGTTATCTTTATCAATTTTACAATCATTCAGGGTGCAATGATCATGAAAGGCAGAATTTATTCTGTTGTATTTCAGATCTGCTATATGTTCTTTTAATCTGGTTTTTAATTAATTAACTTCCTTTTAGTTTCTCCTATATAATATTTATTATTGCTAAATGTACAATGAATTTTATATACTACATTCTTAGTTTCAGTTGGTAGTAGTTGGTTTTTCTGTGTTGAGTTGTTTAAGTCTTGTATACATGTTTTGGTATGACAGTGCTAACTTAAAGTTTATATTACTTATTTCATTATCAATTTGTTTGCGTAGTCCTTTGATGTATGGAAAAGCAATATACTTTATATCATTTGTTTTTTTATTGTCTTGTGGCATTATAGAACCAGTTGTAATGATAGT